GCCCCAAGTTTGCGCAGATGCTTCCTTTCGACACGGTTATGGAGGAGCCAGAGAAGTTCAGATTCTAGCGTGAACTTTTGATGAGCAGCAGCATCGAGATAAGGTAAACTTGACTTAGGTGCACGTTTGCATCCCAAGCCAATAATTTATGTATAATTGTCGCGCTACTATGCGGAATGTAAGACGTGTGGCCTTCTGCGACAGGCTCGCAGGGCCAAGCGTGAAGCTGAGGCGCAAGCTCAGAAGGTGCCTGGCCTGTTGCAATCACGGTTCATGGTGCCAAAGCAGATGGCAGGTCAGAGTCCGGCATTCTTCATCAAACAGATGCATTTCAAAACCCTTGGCTGCCCCTCCCAACCTAGAGACGCAGCAAGAAAGGTCATGTCAGCCGAGCGCAAGTCATACATCCCACGAACTCAACTCTCTCTCTCTCTCTCTTTTTGCTAATGCTGTATATAAGTGCTTTCTTTCTTGGGCCGGGCGGGGTGGTGTCGACGAGTCACCACAAAATGCAATCCTTTCGCGCGAAATGTGCGTCAAGTGTAAAAATGTTATTTAAACTTCCCCCTTTATTCAGCCTTGAAGGACACATAAGCTGCCACAGCTCGTAGGCCATGTGGACAGATGTGGTGTGAGCGGGAACCTGTCCGTACCACGCTTGGTGAAATGTTCGCCATGTCTTTAGGAGCGCTGCTTGTGCTGCCTTCGAGGACGGAGCACGCATGTCCTTGTCCAAGACCTGCAAGGCACTCGCCCTGCTTCTGTGTCACGGGCCGCTAGCACCGCCCGTGTCTGCGAGGCTCTTCCAGCTACATGGACGATCCTGGTGTATTCTATCCTTTCCACACTTTCCTAGCGCAAAAGTTCAACCACTTTTTTGAGCAAAGCAACCAGTTGCACGAGGAACCATTATGATGACGAAGGACAAAACCCTGCATTGGTTCCCAATGAGCTGCATGCTCTGCAAGAATGCCGGAAAGCAAAGACTGGTCCTGTTTTGCGAGTAGAGCTAGCTAATAGTCTATTGAAGCCATCTTTGCACTCTGGAAAGAAGGTGTGTTATACCCACAACAGCACCTCTGGAAATGCCTTGATAAGCCTTCTCCAAAAAATCATCATTCGAGACAGATGTTTGAGTTGCCTAGCATTCCAATCCACGGACTAGCCACACTTTGTGAAGCCCCGATGGCTTGGCACACTTTTGTTCGGAGCGTCTTCCATTTAGAAGGTCTGAATTTCTGTTCCGTATGCAAATGTACCGAAACCTGCGGTCACAGCCGTTCTTTGCCTGAAAGACCTGGGCACTTTACATTTGTAATTCTCTTTAAGACTCCCTGCGCGTTGCAAACCCTTTTTGTAAACGCTTTGCATCGCCTGCCTCCCCTGCTACAGTTCATATCACATCCCAAATCAACTGCATGAGCTTTGAAGGGAAGTGAAGAATCGTTAACCTGCAAGCATTGGAGCTGGGCCTAGAACTTCGATACCCTGCGATTGATCTATATAGTCGTTGTTTGTGGCGGGCTTGCTTGGTAGGAGGAAGATTTCGCCAAGGCAAGTAAGTTGTCTATACCCCTAGAGTATGCCACTGTCAAGGGGTTTAAGTGTCATGTTTAAAATGCAGTTTCCAAGCCCTATTTTGTAAAGCGCAAAGTGGGTATGTTCTAAAGTTTCGGGCTGAAAGTGCACTCAAAAAAACACGCGAGGTTTGTGCCTGGTGACGTGGAACATGTCATTTAGCTAAGATGGGAACCTGGTCGAATCATGTTCAAAGCAGAGCAGACATTTATAGATGCAAGGGGTGAGATGTTGGAGAAGGAAATGCTTTCTGGGACAGGCAAATCATCATTTCATAAACACATAACGCGCAAACAAGAATGAATAAGCGACCATTTCAATATCTTGTCACCACACTACTAAACAGAAAACATATTGCTCCATTGCAGGAGCATTGTCTTGTTAATGAATACTTGTTTATAAAATTGTGTTTTCAGCTTGACAATTCTTGCCAACATATGCCAGAAACATGTCATAAACAGGTGAGGGTTGCGCCGCCGTTTGATCAAGTATTCCAGTTCAGTTTCATGGTTTGTTAATTGAACCTGTTCCCCTCATGTTTTTATAAAGCAACCATGCTGAATAAATTATACACAAACATATGCCCCCAAGATACTATCATTTTACAGACGGGTTGGTTCAGCATGATTTTATAGTGATGATATGTTTTAATAAAATTGAAAACCGCAGACCAGGAGGCAGATTTTCAACCAGTGTAGATGTATAATGAAGCATATGAACCCGTGTTTCCTTGTTTGGGGGGGTTGTTTGCATGTCATTCTGAAATTGTGATTGCTACTTCGATAGCACTAGTCCTTCTCTCCCGCTCCCTTACTTCCAACGATTGCCCTCTTTTAGCCTCACGCCTCAATGCTGAGCCTTCTCTTCTTACATTTTTTCGCCTCTTCATTGCGCCACCTCTCGCATTTGCGGTCTATTTTCAAGTCTTGCGAAAGCATCTCAAATCTGAAATAAGGAAGAATTCACAAGATTAGCGCCTAGGCACCGGCGCCGGGCTTTGCTGTAAAATCAGCGTACAAATCAATAGTTCCATCCTAAATCTAACTTCAGACAAGTGCGTACTGCGCATATTAGCATGCAAACTGAATCGAGACAGCTCCAACGAAGTCTTGGCCAGGAAGGTTTGGCTCAAGAATCACAATTTTGCATGTGCCAGTGTCGGGTCAACAATGATCAATGGTGTTTAAGAATAATGTTTACATGTGTTACATGTTTACATCCTGACATACTGCATTTCACAAGAAGGGGAATAAATTTTGGATTGTTTGTGCTGTGTGATTTGCGTGGGTCGGGAAACTGGACAAGGATGTTCGAAGTTCAGTACGATGTCGGTTGGAGCAATGACACTCGCGGATTTCGCAGGCGTCGGCCAATTTGGTGAAACAAGGCCCAGCACTCTTGAGACATATTTGCAGTGCATCATTGCTTGCTCAGGACATAGAATCTCGCAGTGAATGAATTGTTTGTCAAGCTCAGGTGGCCAAGCTGCTCGGCAAACCTCGCTTTTGCGTGAGGCAAGGGTAAGGAACGTAGGGCCAGGTTTGGGGCTGCACGTCGTGGCCAGAAGTGTCCAAGACAGGCTTTGTTCTCTTCGTCATCAATCAGGTTGGAACTTTGCAGATTATTTTTCGGAGACTGAATCCTACCAGGCGCCCTGTTGGAGCCCAGCGTCAGCAATCAATTTGGTTGAGGACGGAGTCTGTACGCAATGGTGTGCACATTCCACTTTCAGCAAACATGTGAAAGAATATTTTAAAAAATAAGAAAACAATTAACAATGCCCCGGCAATGCAGCATCACAAAGAGGAATTGCCAGAATTGCGACAAATTTCGTTCACCGTTTTAATCGCAAAGATGAATTGCGACAAATTTTGTATCCCTGCCGGACCTCAACCACGACCATCCGCGCCCAGTGTTCCTGCCCGACCTGCGCTTCGAGGTTCCCAAAATACTGCGCCTGCCACGAAATCTGCACTTCGAAGTTCACAAAGTACTGCGCCTGCCACGAAATCTGCGCTTCGAGGTTCACCAAGTGCTGCGCCCGCCACGAAATCTGCACTTCGAGGTTCACAAAGTGCTGTACCTGTCACGAAATCTGCACTTCAAGGTTCACCAAAAGTGCTGTGCCTGCCACGAAATCTGTACTTCGAGGTTCCCCAAGTGCTGCGCCTGCCACGAAATCTGCACTTCGAGGTTCACAAAGCGCTGTACCTGCCACGAAATCTGCACATCGAGGGTCACAGAAAGCTGTGCCTGCCACGAAATCTGCACATCGAGGGTCACAGCGTGCTGTGCCTGCCACGAAAGCTGCAAACGAGCCACATATCATCACATATC